AAAAAAAAAAAAAAAAGTGAAGCACGTATGAACCAATCAGACTTGAAAACTATAATGACATCATTCTCCTATTTACCAACTGTGTATGAACAAATTTGCCCCACAGAAATGTGCTTTGTAGCAAGACAAGCTGCAGTTAAAGCTGTAAGTGAAATTAAGCATACAGAAAGAGAAAAGTCTAAGGCCAGAAACGTTTTAATTTCTACATTTAATAACATCTTTTCAGTCTTTATCTGCTTTCTCTGAATTTCATACGCCTACTCCCTCTCTGTGGAGGAAGCCTTTCTTCCCTTCATTTCTATTACAACTCTCCCCATGCTCCTTCACAAATTGTGCTCTTCTATTAACTTCTAAAATACTGCAGTTCCCCGTCTTTAATTCTGGATCGCATTTTCCTCTCATTGCACGAACATTCCCTAGAACACCTGGGCATGCCCAAGGCTTCAACGACCAAACACTTAACACCTAAATCTCTTATCCCAGGCACCTAGACCTGCATCATTCTTCATCTCAACCTCAAATTTACAATTTAAAAGTTTAATTCATTATTTTTCTCCTCTAAATCTATTCCTGATGTAGTCTCTATCGTGGTCATTAACACTATAAACCAATCAATTGTCCCCATCAATAGTTGGATCATTCTCCTACTCATCACATTAAATACGTCACTAAATCTGGCCCATTTTGCCATGCTTGGTTGCACAGATGTTTAACAGCTACTCTTCATCTCATCATGACCACCACTGTTTTAAAATTAAAGGTTTAAAGGTGTTCATTTAACTTTTGGACTATTGAGATATCTTCCTGACTGGTTTCCCTGCCTCAGTCTACCTTAAATCCAGTCTCTATTATACCACTGGAGTAATCAAACTAGCATACTTTGGAAAGTGACAGAGGGTGCTATTAATAATTATTTTAGTATAACAGGCACAAACAGGGGCAATCCTAATCAAACCTGGAACAAATGGATACCTCTGATGGCCCCTGCTTACCTCTTCACCCACATCTCTTACAACTACCCTACTCTCATGTTATGCTTCATCTATACAGAATAATTTTTAGTTTTCCAAATGCATTATTTCCCCTCATTCCTTTGGGCTCTTCGCATGCTGCACACTATGCCTCAAGCGCTATTCCTACCCCCTTCACCTGACTGAATTAATTTAGTTTATCAGGTTCTCATTTTAGATACCCCTTCCTACAGGAAGCCTAGACTGACCTTTGGAAAACTAATTTATATGTTTGTAGGAGGGGTTCCCAAAACAGTTCATATATAACATTTTGGGCACCTCTAATGTTCTGCAATTATCTATTGTTTGTCTGTGTCCCCCATTAGACTACACATTCCTTGAGGGCAAAACCAACTTCATTCACATTTATATTACTGGAGCCTAAATGACCTAATCCACAGTGAAGAAAAATAATTTTTAAGGAAATGGACAAACATGTTTTTGATACCGTCTCCCTCTATGGACTTTGAGATCCATGACAGACAGAAATTGTTCTTAACTTATGCGGCCCCAGTATTTAACACATTAGATATTTAATGTTTTGTTGAACAGGCTCATTTGTAAAGGTGGGACTCATTTATTAAATGTTCGTTAGAACCAAAGAAGTTGGTGGTAGAAAAAAAACAGCTGAAGGAAAAATAGGAAAAAAATGAGAAAAAAAGGATAAAATAGAAAGAAAACAACAAATGATGCGTCAATAAAGCTTAGAAAGCTTCACATTACTCAGTATTACTTGGTTGGTCTTTGCAAAGTACACGTGTATATAGAAAGAAGAAACCTCTTCCTTCTTTACTTAATAATATGAAAAAGTGTCTTTCATATTTTGTTTTTTCCATAAAGGCCTGTTAACCACATATGGAAATTTTGGTGTACTGTAAATACAAACTACTCTTTGGTTCTACCAATTCTACCACTAAGACTTTGGATTTTAGGATAAAGACATGGTTCTTATTCTCTACCTGTGTGACTAAGTGACATCTATTTCTCAGGTCAAATAATTGCAAGGTTAGTGCAAGTTTTTAACAGGCAAATGGAAGTTCCTTCTCAAGAATATGCTTTTCATGTATAAATTCATAAAAGAAGGTTATTTTCATTTTACTAATTGACTTAATTTACTCTAGAATATAAAGAATATTAAAAGCATAATTTTCGTTGTCTAATGTGCTATAGAATTAGGAAGAACAAAACTATGGACCAGAAAAATGTGCACATACAAAATGCAGGCATAAAAAATAAAGTTGTTCATAAATCCAAGGTAAAAATTTTGTTGCTAAAGACATATTTCATCTTATCTGTTGTTTTTTCTAATCCTTGACATTTCATTAGCTCTCTCTATATCTACCTACTGATAAAAGTTTATCTTATATATCTACCATACCAATATAGTATTTAGGATTTTCCTTGTTATTTCCTTTTATGAATATTCCTTATCTTTTAAAATCAAATTTCTCAATGATAATTCTCCACATAATTCAAAACCCTTCCAAATACTTTTAACAATCCTTTTTCTATATCCTTCTAGATCTTTTTATCTGTCCTTGCGGACTGACTTGGAGAGCCCTCTACTGGCCTGATGCTGTGTCAAAAAAAATTTTGCTTCATCATTTGGATACCCATTTTTACATACTTTCAGTAATATAATAATAATTGCATAATTAAAGTAAAACTTTTATTCAGAATGACAAAATTATAAAGAGAAAATGAATGGTTCTACTAAAAGACTTATCAAAGCAAATTATTCTACTTATATAGCATAGAAAAACCAATTTTAAATAAATGTACACTATTAATCTCAGTACAGCACCATAAAGCTTTGCTATCATGTGACAGAAGTCGTAGATGAGCCCACATTATAATGTATTTTTCTATATTAGTAACTGAAGTATGAAAAGCAAGCTGGAATCTCTATGTAAAATGCCTCCGCCCAGGTAAATCTGATAGTTATCTGGTCTTCAATATTTCATGATTTTAACATACCAATGCCTTTAGTATTTATAAACATGTTTGAAGATATAATGAAGGGAAAAAAGACCACTTAAAATGATGTTTTTTAAATCTAGGAATAAAGACCTTAATGAAGAAGACAAAAAAATTTCTACAAAAAGAAGTATACACCACCTCAGAGTTATCGGGCCTCAATTTGATCCCAATAAAAATGCCAACAGTTTTTTGTTTTTTCTTTTGGAGATAAGCCAATTATAAAATTTATATAGGAAAGCATATGAACAAGTTTTTTGTGACAGTCTTGCTCTGTCGCCCAGTCTAGAGTGCCATGGCGTCAGCCTGGCTCACTGCAACCTCAAACACCTGGGCTCAAGCCATTGTCCTGCTTCAGCCTCTTGAATAGCTGTGACTACAGGCATGCCACACATGGCTAATTTTTTCTATTTTTAGTAGAGATGGGGTATCACTCTTGTTCAGGGCTCACGCTGCTCTTGAACTCCTGAGCTCAAGAGATCCTCCTCGCCTCTGCCTCCCAGAGTGCTAGGATTACAGGCATGAGCTGCTGCACCAGGCCTAAGAAAAACTCTTAAAAAGAAGAGTAATAATTGAGGAAAGTATCCCTTTCAGTCTATAAATTTTGTTATAAAGCCTCACAAACTCTGTGTTCCCATTAGACTGTACTCTCCTTATAGGCAAAACTAACCTTATTCACACTTCTTTTCCTAGGGCCTAGACACTACCTTATCCCTTCCAAAACAAATAAAATAGATAAGAAAGAGATAAACATGTTTTCCTAAATGGTCTCTCCACCTGTATGTTTTGAGATCAATAAACGCAGGAACTATTCTTCACTTTTATGACATCGGAATTTAGAATAGTTGATGTTTAATCATTGTTTTGTTAAATGGGCTCATTTGTAAAGGTGAGACTCATTTATAAAATACTCATTAGAATTAGACTTCATGGTAGAAAAAATTATATAGAGGAGAAAGGAATAATAATATAAATAGAAATTATGATAAATTTGGAAAAAGTACATTCAAATCAAATTACAGATAAAAGGCTAATTTCTTTTATATATAAAGGGCTCCTAAAACAATAAGCAAAAACCTAAAACCTAACACAAAAAATAAGCAAAAGGTTATAAAAAAACAATTCACAGAAAAAGAAATGTGAATTGGTCCTAAATATATAAAAAGATGCTTAACATCACTCTTAAGAGAAATATATATTGAAACCATATGGTGATACCTTCCCCCTGCCTTTTATATGAACCTACTAGAAAGGCAAAAATCCCTAAGTTTGATAACATACTCTGTTAGCATGGTTGACAGGTAGGGAGTGAAAGAAGGAGGAGTCTTACATAGTGTTTTCCTGGATGGCAATCTGACTATATCAATAAAAATTGCAAAGTCACACAACAGCTAGAAATTTCATTTCTCAGAATTTAACTTACAAAAATATTTGCACATGAGCAAAATAATATTTATAAAAGGCTATTCTTCATAGCATTATTTATAATAACCTTAAACTGAAACAACCCAAATTTTGATGAGTAGGGGATAAAGTGAATAAATTATGCTAACATCATAAAATGGAAAATCATGTAGCTGTAAAAGCAAAGGAAAAGGGTGCTATCTGTGTAAAGATATGAAAATAATTATTGTAGTTTATATAATTTTATGTATTAATAATATAAAGGAAAAAGGTAAGGTGCCAGATAAGTATATATTCTGATACTTTCTGTAAAATGTAGAAGGATAAAATACATTTATATCTGGTTGTGCTAGCCTCAACTCTGAAGGATACACTAGAAAATTGATCACAGTAGTTCTTGTGTGTGTGTGTGTGTGTGTGTGTGTGTGTGTGTGTGTAGCAGGTTCTGAACTAGACAGATGGAAGACAGTATCTTTTACCACACACAAACATGAACCATGTGAATGCATTATTAATTCAAAAATTGACTTAAAATATCCTAATATTACAAGTATATTTTTAATACAAGCTTTACTACTAAAACAACTATAAAATCCTCTGTAGCCTTACCTGCAAACTAGCCACATAAGAATCCTCACAATTTACATAATGTCCTAACATGGCATGTTGTGCCCGTAATTCATTATCTCTTATCCTCTCATGTAGGTGGGTAATTTGTTGCTTCTGCCTGAAAAACATAAATTGAGGTCACATTATAAAGAATATACTTTTCTAAAAGGTACTTAAAATCAGAACCTTTAGTATTCTAATAATTTTACATAAGAGTTTGAAAGTATTATCAATTTTAAAAATTGTAATAGGGAATTATTTTAAACCACAGTACCACGTGTGGAATTACAGTAAAAGTTTATTTATACTGTAAAGTACTTCCAGCATTCCGTAGAATGCAATCTTTTATAGAATAATTCTCTTAGATTCTAACAAAGGCATGCTCTGCTTTCTTTCTTCTTGTTATTTAACCTAATAAATGGTTCATCCTGAGTCTGGAATGCCATTACCTTAAAAATCATTATTTTCATTCACACAAATTCTGTTCAATATTTCATACCTTTTGAGAATCTCATTGTCAGGGGTGAAAGTAGTTTTATAAAGATCATCTAGCCCAACTGCTGTTCTACGCCTGCATCTTATTTAAAACATCCCAGGTTACACAGTTTACACATAAACATCACCAGTGATGAAGAACTCATTCAGTGACAGATCTCCATATTTGTAAAGCTCTGACATTTCATTTAGTAATATAATCTCATGTTGGAACCAGACACATTGAAGTTCAAATCTTTCTTCAGCGGCTCATAGTTTACTTTAACCACATTATTTAACTTGTGTGAATATGTATCCTCATAAATTTTAAAAGTGTTATGTGTCAGACATGATGCTGAGAGCTTTGTATGCAGTATCTCTCATCTTCAAAAACTTAATAACAAGTTTCATAATGAACTTATGAGAGAGAGAGAGAGAGAGAAAGCTTTCAAGAAATCATATAGTGTTAGTAAACAAATAACTTTATGTTTTTCAAAATTACTTACAAAGTAACTTCTGGAACTAGCTAGATTATATGTTTCAGACTGCATCAAAGACCTTTTTCTACTTAGAATCATTTTTATTTTTTAAGAAATGTGCTAACCTCTAAGAAAATCCATATAGAAAACATTAAATAGGAAAGTTAGGAGAGATTAGTCATATAACACTTTTCAAATAATTTAAAGCATTACAAAAAAAAATTTTCCTTTGTCAAACAAGAGGGAGTAGCAGGGACTGGTTTTGCCATCCTGCCTAAAAAAAAGTTTTTTTAAAAAAAGACAAAATACAGAAAACAAAGATTCTCAAGACACTGGACATCAGGTAATTACAAACAGTGATCTCTGAGAGATGGGTAACTAATGAAGTAAAGCCCCATAACTGCCCCAGCTTACTGCTCAGAGAGTTGTCAAGCACTAGAACAGGACAGTGGTCTCCCCAAGACAGAACAAGAAAAATGGCACCAGGCTAGGAACTTGGAGAAAACAATGCAGCTATAGTTCACGGTGCTGAGTGACCCTTGAGAATTCAGTTGAATGTTAATTAATACATGCATGAGGAAACCACTGAAGGTATGTGTAAGGGAGAGAGCCAACCAAAAAGATCAGAGGGAACAGTGCTTGAAGCTCGCACAGGGCCTGGAATACTGCCTATTCCTAACTGCCAGAGTGAGAAACTTCATGATTCACAGGGCATCATCCATTCACAGCAATTCTCTGGGGGCAATTTTAACTCCAAGGGACATTTAGCAACATCTGGAGACATTTTTGATTGCCACAACTGGGGCAGACTGCTAATGGTGTCTAGTGAGTAGAGACCAGGGATGCTACTAAATGCCTCCAATGAACAGGATAGCCACCCACAATAAAGAATTATCCAACCAAAAAAAATCAATAGTACTGAGACTGAGAAACCCTGGGTTTCTAAGATGGGCCTTGTCTCAGTAGTGGGGAAAAAAATAACCCTAGACAAAATAGCTCTAGTGTCATCTAACAAAACTTATAAGAGAAATATATATTGAAACCATATGGTGATACCTTCCCCCTACCTTTTATATGAACCTACTAGAAAGGCAAAAATCCCTAAGTTTGATAACATACTCTGTTAGCATGGTTGACAGGTAGGGAGTGAAAGAAGGAGGAGTCTTACATAGTGTTTTCCTGGATGGCAATCTGACTATATCAATAAAAATTGCAAAGTCACACAACAGCTAGAAATTTCATTTCTCAGAATTTAACTTACAAAAATATTTGCACATGAGCAAAATAATATTTATAAAAGGCTATTCTTCATAGCATTATTTATAATAACCTTAAACTGAAACAACCCAAATTTTGATGAGTAGGGGATAAAGTGAATAAATTATGCTAACATCATAAAATGGAAAATCATGTAGCTGTAAAAGCAAAGGAAAAGGGTGCTATCTGTGTAAAGATATGAAAATAATTATTGTAGTTTATATAATTTTATGTATTAATAATATAAAGGAAAAAGGTAAGGTGCCAGATAAGTATATATTCTGATACTTTCTGTAAAATGTAGAAGGATAAAATACATTTATATCTGGTTGTGCTAGCCTCAACTCTGAAGG